ACAGACCCTCAACCAGGTGGAATGACATGTTGAGTGTTGCAATGCGCTTGAGTGTATCAGAGATTGTAAGGGAGGGACAGGACAGTGTTCAGATCTGTCATTCATATGGTCAGTACGACCCATATACTTGACTCAATGTCACCTAACAACAACAGAAAAGAGCCTCCTAACGGTAAGAGAATAAACTTCTGTTTGTGAAAGCCATGCACTGTGGTATCTCTGTGACAGCAGCACCAGAGCACTAAGACGCCAGGCCCCAGGGAAGAAGTCCTCCCACCCTGAGATGCTGCAGTGTGAACTGCCAGCAGCTGTGGTGAGCAGGGAGAGTACAGGTGCCATCAAGCAGAGCACAGTCAGCCCGTGCACAGTGGACAAAGCACTGCCCAGTCATGCACCATTTTGAGGATCCATTGCAGATCAGACCCCTTTTATCACACAGCCTTTTCTTCCAGCCCTTTCTTCCTAGTCTTTCATCTGGAATTTGGCTGAATTGCTCAGCACCCTAGCAACACACAAGTCTCCACTGACAGACAGGTGGTGCAGGGAGCAGGCATTGAACCTGAGTCTCCTACATGAAGTGAGAATCCTACCATGGAAAGACCAGTGTCCTGGGCCTCGTTTGCATGCAGGCAAACTAGCAAAAATCTCACTGACAAGCAGCTACACCTGTGCATGGATATGTGCATAAAAAGGATTGCTCTGGAAATGGAAGAGTGTCAAGAGAGCCCCAACCTGAAATAAAGTTATTGTTAGGAGCCACTGAACCAACGAGCTGAGAGCCTGGCCCAGTCCTGGGCCACCCTCACATTAGTCCACTGCTGCAGCCACTGGCGGTCCATCTCAGTGAGGGTCGTCTCGTCTCACTGACCTTTACCAAGCGTGATGTCCTTCTCCAGAGCCTGGACCCTCCCAATAACAGGTCCACAGTGAAATGAAGTCTCAGCACCTGCGTCTAGGGAACACTCTGGCTGCATCTCTTCCAAGAAACATCCATGAGTCGTCTCGAAGTGCGTGTATAGTCAACACTGTCAGCGAACGCCATAAGTCAAAGGCACCGATTCACCTCTCTCCCTTCCTTCCCAGCCGTCCAGCTTTGACAGCACCTGAGGCACTAACCACCAGGCCCTTGGCTCTGATGAACCTTAGTCCTCAGAGTGACTACTTTGCTTCTTAACATTTTAAAAAGGTCTTGTAACAAAGCGCTATTCTAAAGGTACCATGTTAAGCTTATATAAAATCAAAATGTCAGGGGAGACAAAAAGAGAATTACAACAGGTAATTAGTCTCGAAAGAGCAAATGTAAAGGGGGAAATGCTAAAAGGAACAAAGACAACTAGGATATCCAACTCTTCAAAACGGAATTCTTCTCTGCTGGGAAAAATCCTTAAAAGGAAGCACACAAACCCACACCACAGAATCCATTCTGACCACAGTGACCCCCCAAGATGGAGCAGAACTTCTCCACGGGCTTTCCAAAGTTGTCAATATTCCCAGAACCAGCCTTTTTCCTTTTTCTCCCACAGAAAGGATGATCAGTTTAAATTAGGAATCTTCTGCTTAGCAGTTGTGTGCTTTAAACACTGCATCACCAGGGTTCCTCAGTAACAGAAGGACTGTGAAAGACAAAATTTAATAATTTTTTGAATGGAGGCTCATAAGCCATATTGGGTTTTCATACAATCCTTCATAGGCACTTGGCTTGACACCACTAATTACCATTGATTAGCATCCCTCACTCATTGCAACCCCGTAAACCCCTTAGGGTGCTCTGGACCCTCAGGAGGGAACGGAACTGAACGGTGCTGCTAATCCAGAGGCCACACCTCTCTGGTGGCTCAAACCCACCAGCAACTCCTTGGCAGGAAAATGAGCAATCTCCTCTCTTCAGTTTACAGCCTTGGAAACCCCCTGAAGGGTCAACCATGAGCTGGTTCTGACTCCACAGTAAGTAGGGGTTTTCTTGCATTTTAATCAACCCCTTACTGTGCACTGCCCTTCCCTTCATACGAGTTACCGATTTAGTATTGCCCCCCCCTTCACTTCTATGCCTGTTAACACTCCATAATTTATTCTGGTATGAATTTGAGGTGTACAGATTTTGATACAACTTTATGTATGTTCCAAGACGACTGGTGGTAGAATTGGCCTGAAGCCTGTTTCTTCAAATTCATGCAGTTATACAGGTCCTCACTAGGTAGCAGCATACACCGCAACTGGGACAAAGGTTTCCCAAGACACCCGAGAGGCTGAAAATGTTAGTGGGTGTTCTCTGTCCCATGGATCTCAGAAGAGCTTAATACAGTTGTTAAATAGTGAAGTATAAGAGTTAATTACTGGGTGCTCTGGCGGCCTGGTGGCAAGAAGCTGCATTGCAATCCCAAAGGCCTGCAGTTCAAATCTACCAGACACTCCGCTGGAGAAGGAGGGGTAACTTCCTCCTGTGTCAGCTGGATCCAATTAGACGTCACACAACAATTTTTTTAAAGTAATTAACTGTGATTTACACATAATAAAGGAGCCCTTGAGGTGCAACTGTTAAACACTTAAATGTTAACCAAAAGTTTGGTGGTTCGAATCCACCTGTTGCTCTGGGGAAGTTGAGGCAATCAGCTTCCATAAAGATTTACAGCTTTGGAAGCCCTGTGGAGCAAGTCTCCACCCAGCAGGGTCACTATGAGCTGGAATTCACCAAAGCAGCGATGAATTTACATACCACACACTGGTCTCATTAGTGGCTCTGCGTCAGTGAGGTTCAGTGTGTCAGCCCCACAAGTCTCTCAGCCACTCAAGTCTGTCGTTTATGTAAATAAAATGTCAATCAGGATTTCAAAAACATCAACTTTTCCTCCAGAAAGCAAAAATAAATATTCCAGGTCATGTTGCAAATTCACGTCCTTTGATTCCTCACCACCACAAACCAGGACGGGTCACAGCAAGGCTAAGGCCAAGGGTTCAGGGACCAAGGTGACAGAGTCTACAGTAAGAACACTGAGGCCCAACAGAGCCCCAGCTCCACCCTACCTGTCATGGATTGAACAGGATCCACCAAATCACATAGATGTAATGATGTAACAGGGAGCTCTGGTGGTCTAGAAGCTGCGCTGCAATCACAAAGACACGCGGTTCAAATCCACTAGCTGCTCCACAAGAGAAGGATGGGCCATCTCCTCCCCTGCAAATTCACTAGAGGGTCAGAGTCGGTTCAGACTTGATGGTACACAACAGCCTCCCAGGGCCTGGGGAGAGCCCCCAGCAGGCGGACTGCCAGGCAGCAGTGGTGACTCTGGGATGGAGAAGTCATATCACCATCCTTCCACGATCTAATGAGCCAGCTGCCAAAGGATCCAGAGGGAGACACTGGAAGGATCCTAAGCGCCTATCCCCTTAGACCTGCACTGTCCACTGTCACTAACACCTTGGGATGCAGCACTTGGAGGGGCAGAAGGCTCGCTGTCCACCTCCGCTCGTATGCAACCTGTGAAGACAGGGCCTGGTGACTTGGCACAAGGGATGCGGGACCCCTGGCCAGCCATGTTTTTTAACTCGGCAACCTATGTACTTAGATATTTGCCTTTTGCATTCAGTGTATTGTACCTGAAAGTTAGGAGCACACCTCCACCTGTCCTGGGTGAAGTCATGGCAAAGAAGCTCAGGCCTTGGCATGGTGGGCCATCTCACGGCTCACCGCCCTTAGCATCCCTTGCAGATGCACTGGTTTACCTGAGGTACGCCAGTGACGTGGGCCTCTGCGGGGCTCAGGTCTGCACCCTCAAAACACTAATCAGCATTGCCAGTACCTGCTGATCTAGCTTAGATTCATTTTTGCCTCCGTAGGCACAGGGAGGCCCCTAAGGTCCTAGAGTGCAGGGCTAGGTGATGAGGGAGCAAGGGACAAAGAAGCTGGAGGGGTGGGACCTTATGTGGTGGGTGGAGTGGGTGACCTTAAAGGGCGTGGCTAGATGGTGGGGGAGGCGGGGCTAGGTAGGCATGGAGAAGGAAGTTGTCAGGTACTTTGAAGACAATTCATAGCAACCCAATGAACAATAAACTTGAGCCTGCCCTGTCCTGCGCCCTCCTCACAATCTCTGACACTTGAGCCCACTGCTGCAGTCTCTATGGCAATGCGTTTCCAAGCATGAAGTCCCTCTCCGAGAACAGTCTCTCCTAGCAACTTGTCCATAAAAGAAGAGTCAAAGCTCTGCCGTCCTTGCCTCCAATGACCACGCTGGCTGCATCTTTTTGAGAACATATCTGTTTGTTCTTTCGGTTGTTCATGGAATATGCAGTACTCTTCTCCAGCACCACAGTTCCAAGGTATCAATTCTTCTTCCTTATTCAGTATCCAACTCCCCCAAGTATAGCAAGTGTTTGGAAAGACCATGGCCTGAATCAGGCCCAGCTTAAGTCTTCAAACTGACTTCACTGCTCCTCAGTACTGTGGGAAAATCCTTGATAACAGATTTTCCCAGTGTACTACATCTCCTGATCTCCTGACTGCTGAAAGCCAGGGTGTTGAATGTGGATCCAAGTAAGAAGAAGTCGTTGACAATCTCAATCTTTTCTCCTGTTATCACGCACTGCAATCCCAAAGGCACGCGGCTCCACGGGAGGAAAATGGCCAATCTCCTCTCATGCCTCTGAAAACCCGCCCACTGGAGGGTCAGCTATGGACCAGCTGGTACACAAAAACAACAATCCTGATACAGGCAAGAGGTAAGAGGTGGGGCTAAAGTCAGCGCTAGGCCAAAGCCAAAGGGGATGGGACAGAGGGAGGGGCGATACTAAAGGGGCGGGGTCACGCCGAGAAGGGGCGGGGCCTCGCTTGGAAATGTTCCTGTTAGAGCCTAGAACTACAGCTCCCATCATGCTCTGTGGCCTCGTAGTCTCGTGATCTCCCTCCTCTCGCGAGAAGCAGGCGCCGGAGGCGTCTCCTCCGAGGGCGAGGAACGGAAGTGTAGGCAAAGGTCCGAGACGTCGCCGCCAAGCTGGGCACCGGGGAGATGGCCGAGACCGACCCTATGAACGTGCAGGACCTCACCTCGGCGGTAAGCTGCGGGCCGCGGCCTGGTCCCCGGGGGGCTGGCGAGGCCGCGGCGGGCGGGGCGTCCCCGGGCCCGGCTGGTGCGGGCCTGGCTGCAGGCCCCCCGCCCAGGGCGCCCCGGGCTCCCGCCGCCGCCTGCGCCCGGCCCTCGGCTCCACCGCGGGGCTCCACCGCGGGGCTCCACGGCGTCCCTCCGTCTGGGGTCTCTGCGCCCCGGCGCCCGCTGAGAATGCTCTCTCCTAGGTGGAGACGCTGCTGCAGCAGATGCAGGACAAGTTCCAGACCATGTCCGACCAGATCATCGGAAGGAATACCCTTTTCCGGGGCTGCGGGGCAGGTGGACGCCCGAGTGGCCCGGTTCTGTCACCGGGAAGCGCTGTGCCGAGGGCCGGTTCCAACCGCCCAGCTCCATCACGACCGAGGCAGCTGGCTTGTCACAGACCCAGATTTTGACACTTAAAGGAGGGCGGAGGGGCGAGGGGCTGCATCTGTTAGTGTCTGCGCCCTCGCGGGGCCGCGTCCGGGTTGCGTAGCAACCAGGCCTCGCCGGGCGGCAGACAGCGTGGGCCTAGCCTCCTCCCACCACCGCAAGGCCCCTCCAAGTCCCCCGTCTTCCTCCGACCCCCATAAGGCCTCTCCAAGACCCCCTTCCCCCTACTCGATCCCCGCCAGTCCCATTAAAGTCCCCTGTCCTCCTTCGTCCCCCTCAAGGCCCCTCCAAGTCCCCCGTCTTCCTTCGACCCCCCCAAGGCCTCTCCAAGACCCCCTTCCCCATACTTGACCCCAGCCAGTCCTCTCAAAGTCCCCTGTCCTACTTCGACCCCCGCAAGACCTCTCCCAAGTCCCCCTTCCAGGTCCCCGTCTGTGATCTTTTCTATCCCCAGCTGTCATTCCTGTTCACCCACATTCCAAAATGTGTGTTCCTCCACTTTTCCTTGTGAGCCGCTGCTGAACAGGGCCCTGGCCACACGGATGAGACCGTCGTCCCCGTATAACAGCATCAGTGGCTGACTGGGATAGAGAGGGGGTCTTTATGGTCCTCTCCTCTGAGCCTCCTCATTAACCTTATACGGGTGCAGTAACCATCTTTACTCAGCAGCTGAAGAAAGTGAAGTTGAGGGCATGTAAGGGGAAAGGTGGGGTCTGGATCCTAGATGGCTTTACCTTTACTAACCAGAAGAAACTGGGAAAACAGTATCATTAAAAAACCAAAATGCTAACCGTGAATCAACTCCTAGCTGGCCCCACACTGGGTTTCTGCAGCTGCAGTCGGGTGCACAGCTTCCTATAGGCTGGGCCACCATCCAGGCCAAGCCCACCCACAGCTGACCCTCCAGCGGGTTTTCAGGAGCAGTAAATCACATGGGAGGAGACTGACCATCCTCACTCCACAGAGTGGATTCATACCTCAGGCTTTCAGGATTGTAGCGCTGACCCTCAGCCATTGGCAGGAGGAAAAAATATCTATAACCAGACCCCATCTCTTTGCCCTGGAATTAGAACTGGCTCCTAGCTGCCCTTCCCCCTGGGGTTGTGAGGCTGTAAATAGCACAGGGGGACACTGTCAGAGTTCTCCCTCAGAGCCACTAGGGAGGACCCTGGAAGGGGGGGGGACAAGCAGTGCTCATGGTACCTTAACTGACTCACTTGATGACATGAGCAGTCGCATCGATGACCTGGAGAAGAACATCGCGGACCTCATGACCCAGGCTGGAGTGGAAGAACTGGAAGGTGAAAATAAGGTCCCTGCCACCCAGAAGAGCTGAAGGTGAGATCCAGAGGGATCTTGATGCAGACAAACCTTGCAGAGCAGCTCCCCACCATGACGCTAGCAAACACTCCTTTAGAGAGAGACACACACACACACAGAGTGGACTCTGTGTTCTGACCTGGACAGTTTGTGAAATGTCCTGCTGGCCTTGCAAGCTTCTCTCGGTCCCTCTGTGATGTGACATTCACATAGCCCGGTAAGCAGATAACAGCATCCCTATGAATTGCAGGGATTTTTTTTTCTCTAGAGGGAAGGAAAAATAAAACATGTAGGAAACATAATTTTTAAGAAAGACTTCTGATTAAACCAAGTGTGTCTTTGTTGGCATCCTGTGGTAAAAAAGCAGGTCTCACCCCGCAGTGTACGGAGGGACTTGGTGGTTGATACTTCCCTATGTCAGTCCCCTCTCCTCAGAGAATGCAAACTTTCCTGACAGCGTCCCCTCTTTCAACAGGCTGCTCATCACTACCACTGAGATTTGCACCATCATTCTTAACAAGCCAGAAGACTGAAGGCTCTTCCCATCTAATTACTACATATAGACAGTTTTCTATTATAAAGTATGCATTCGTACCATAAATCATACAGGTAGTTTTCAGAGTGGTTTTTTTCCCCAGTTTCTCAGCCCTGCTGCCATCGTGGGCCGCCACGGACGGTGCTGGACATGCCAGCACTGAACCTCGGCCAGTCCCAAAGGGCAGTGTCAAGCCCAGTGTGTTTTCTCGTATGGTCATTGCCTGTTCTCTTTTGGTAGCTCAGTAGTTGCACTTTGGTACAAATTGCTGTGTGTTTTTCCTTAGACAGCTGGTAAATCCCTCCCTTCCACTAGACCTTGTGAGGTGAGACTGTAGTCTAGCATGGAGTTCTTCTCAGCACAAAATGGCTGTCACACCAACACCAGTGTTGCCGATACCTTTCAGATGGCCAAACATGTTTCAAAATTGTTTATTCCAAAATAATCTGACACTCTTGTGTTGCCAAAACTCCCAATTGAACCGCAGCTCTATTTCTATCTTAAGTGCCTGAGATCAGACGTTAAACTCCATGGAACGGACTCCTGCCACTCGAATGTGTTGGTGTGTCTGCCTGTGGGAGGGAGGGTGCTCACATGTTAGAGTTCTGCATGAGATTCTAATAGAACTTTGTGTTGTTCATTTAATGGCTGATGTAAAAAATCTGGCAGGATCTGAAAAATCAAAGGATTCCATCTTGTCTTTCTACTCCTGATAGTAGAAAAACCCAAATTAACCCACCAGAAAGGGCAGAGACCATATTAAATTCAGGTGTGTGTCTTAAAAGCAAGAATGACTTTGTAAGTTAATTGAGATTTTGACACAATTACCATTTCTTAGCTAAATTCTGGCAGAGGATTAGCATAAGAGTCAAGGCCAATAACACCTATCTCTCAAAAGGGCAGCCTCGGGCCTGCTTGAGATAGAAGCCAGCAGGGATGATACCGATGGTCACAGCTGAGCCATCTTACTGAACAGGAAACTGCCGCTTTAACAAGTTGAGGACTCCTGTGTCACTCCATTGGGGGAATCCCTGAATGAGCACACCAGGGCTTTTTAAAGTTTCCTATGTTACCAGTCTTGCTGGCTTCCTATTACACATTTATAAAGAATTTAAATGTTTTCTTAAACATGATGGAGTAACAGCTGTTAAGACTGCATGCAGCTAGTCTGGTGTCAACCAGCCTGGGAAATGGCAAATGGAAATGCTATCGCCTGTTGTGATGGTGGCTGGGAGTTGGGTAAAGGGGGAAGAGATCCAAGGGCCAGTTTCCTGCCCCACAATCTGCCCTCAATAAAGGTGCCTGGAATCCTGCTGTGGTAACTGTTTTGTGTGGAAAATTATTTGGCGTTTGCAGAAATCAGATGCGCACACACACCAAATAAAACCTAGGGAGATGTGGCTGGGAGGGAGGGCTGCACCCCAGGACCTCAGTGATGGACTTTAAAAGGGAGCTGCCTGTGACATGCCACAGGTGCTCCAACTTTCCCAAAGTGACTTCCCTAGAACACCTGTCCCTGGAGAAGCTTCTAGGAGGGAAAGGTTCTTGGTTACTCGGGTTTAGAATACCTGGCAGCATAGAGATTCCACTGCTAGGAAAGTGGCAGTGCTAATTAGCACCTTAAAGGTTCTGAAAGTCCTACAGCAGAGAAATCAGATGCTCCTGTTTCCTAGTTATCTGAGCAAGAATTCTTTCTGAACACTTGAGCCAATTTCATTGTCTCTGAAACACCCACCCCCATTTCCCCAACCACTAAGGCAATCCATCTCATCTAGGGTCCTCTCTGCATTGACACTCCACCCTTCCAAGTATAATATTCTCCAAGGACTGGTCCCTCCAGGCCATGTGCCCAAAGTATGTGAGACGGAGCTTCAAAATCATTGCCTCCAGGGAGCAGCCTGGTTTCACCAGGACAGACCTATTTGTTCTCTTAGCAGTCCATGGTATGTTCGATACTCAAACACCACAACTCAAAGGCATTAATTCTTCTATCATCCCTAGTCATTGTCCAGCCTCAGATGCATAGTAAATGATCAGAGACACCATGGTCTGAATCAGAAGCATCTTAATCCTCAAACTGACATCACTCCTCAATAATTTCAAGAGATCTCTAACTGTAACCTTCCCCAATGCAATATATCTGATTTCCTGACTGCTGGTACCAAGAAATTTACAGTCTCTGAAATCCAGTGGATCCCTTCTTGACAGCATTAAGTGAGTAACCAAAAGTTGCCAATTCAGATTCATATCTGGTGATCTGCTTCCATGATTATTGTTGTAGACCATTGTGTCTGAAATAACCCACAGCTGACCCTCCAGTGGGTTTTCAGAGGCAGCAAATCACATGGGAGGAGACTGTCCATCTTCCTCCTGCAGAGCAGCAGATGGATGCATCCTCCACATTGCAAGCAGTTGTGCTAACAACTCAAAAGCAAGAGATTCCAATCTACCAGGGGCTCCAGTGGAGAAAGATGAGCAATCCATGAGATTTACAGTGTCTGAAAATCCACTGAAGGGTCAGCCATAACATAGAAACATTGTAAACTGTAACAATGGACATGATTCAAAACAGAACTGGCTGCCTGATACTGATTCATTCTGGTTTGAACCCTTGCTAAGAATTCTTTCCACTTCACATGAACTAAAGGAGAATTTACAAGGTCCCTAAGGAGACAGGATAATATCTACATTGTAACACAGTACCTCAGGGAATATTATAAAATCTGCATTGTAACAAGATCCCTGAGTAGATAGTATAAAATCTCTACTTTGTAACACAGTACCTAAAACCACAGTATAGAATGTACATTGTAACAAGGTCCCTAAAGTGATAGTATAGAATCTACAAAGTAACAAAGTCCCTAAGAGGATAAAATAGACTCTGCATTTGTAACAAGATCTCTAAGGAGGAAGTATCAAATTTACAATGTAACAGAGTTAATCACAAGGTCCTACTATGCTTTAGGGAGAATGCATTTTTTATATTTTACTTTTTTTAATTTGCTTACCAAGTTTATATTCTGTTTCACACTGTTCTTCATTCACATTATGTTTCACAGGCAGAATGCATCTTAAGAGAAACAACCATATTATTTAAATTTCCAGAATGCTTCTTCTGCTCATTATCCACAGCCCATCAAAACTGTTTTCCACATACAACAGAACACTATCTACATTGTAACCTGATCCCTATACTAATAGTTGTTGTTGTATAGCCTTCAGTAACTGACTCATAGATGACCCTCCAATTGGGATTTCAGAGGCAGTTAACTTAATCCCAAGGGAGGAGACTGGCCATCCTTCCCTCTCAGAGCAGCTGGTGGCTTTACACTGCATCCCTCTGAGATTATAGTTTCTTACCAGTAGGCCACCAGAGCTCCCTAAGGGGAGAGTATAGAATCTGTATTATGTATACATCTATAAGAATCAATCAGATCCTGGC